TTCTGACTTTGTCCATCCCAGTCCAACACCGGCACCTCCACATCTAGGTCAACACTGTCAGGGGTGTGAACAGTGTCAAGGTGGTGTGAACACTGAAGGCAGAAGTGTAATAGCTGTAGACACTATTGTTTAAAATTTGTAATACCCGCAGTCCCCAGCTTCCGTTCTGGAGTCCATCCACACGTCAATTTGTACGCAAGTTGCAACACAACGTGAAGTAGCCGTTTATAGGTACAGGAAACATTTGTAGGTCGCGACTTCGAAATCACATCCCTGTGTAGGATCGCGTTCACAAGTCGGACGCTTGTAAATCGGAGACCCCTTGCAGTGTGAAACAAAAGGTGGAAATAACCTGGTCCACACGAGCTTTGCCGCATTTAAACTCTCAACACAATACGGCAACTACTGCCATAAAAAGGCTGTCCGTGGTTTGTCTTTCCCGATTAATCTTGTCTTATGTTAGAGATAGCTGCTGCTGCATTTCGGATCGTTTCCACATTTCTGAAGGAGCCAGAGCTGAAAGTCCCAGTGAGAAAAACACAGCTTATTCCCAGTATAAGAAAAGTAGAGATAGTAGGAACTGCAGATGCTGGAGAATCCGAGACAACAAGGTGCAGGGCTGGATGAACACAGCAGGCCAAGCAGCATCATAGGAGCAGAGGGTGTGGATTGGGAATCTGACAGTAAGCAATTGCCACGCTTCAAAAGAACATAGGAATTTATGTAAGCAGAGAAAATGATAACTATGATGTCTCTCATTCAAGATGAAGAGGAAGAGCATAATTTTTCCTCAGAGGATTGTAGCTCTGTGGAACTTTTCTCCTCTATTAAAACGCCACAATTTTGAAATGTGTGGAGCTCGCTGGATATGTTTGCTTCATCATTCAATCTAGGAACTTAACATCTCTTGCATTTGTACAGAGATGCATTACTTCTTTGAAGTCACAAAGCACATTTTTTAAACAAAAAAACATCAAATCACTTAAACAGCTGAGAACAGATGATTAAAACTCTGCTCAAGTGTATAGGTTTGAAAGTGTATCTTAAGGGATACGAGAGGCAGACAGACTTAATTTGGGAGCTTAGGAGGTAGTCATCTAAAAACAGAAGCATTGCTGGGTTCCAAATGTTAACTCTGTTTTCTTTCCACAGATGCTGCCAGATCTGCTGAGTTCCTCCATCAATTTCTGTTTTTGTAGTGAAAAGCAGACCACTAACAGGAGAATGATTAAAATATCAGACGCAGGAAAAGGAGAGTTAGAAGGTTAGAGTTCTTCCAAGAGAGTCTTCTGCGGGTTCAGGGGGGTTTACAGAAATAAAGGGTGACTTGATCGAAGACAGATCTTGAATGTTCTTGACAGGCTGAGTGTCAAACAGGGTGCCTTCTCTTGTGGGTCAGTGTAGAACTAGGGGACTCTTAAAAATCAGTGTTGCACTATTAAGACAGAAACAAAATTTTTCTGAGAGTTGTATAACTTTGGAACTCTGCTTCAGAAGGTGGTAGAGACAAGTTACTATTGGTTGTCTTAAGCCACATGTAGAGAGATTTTTAGGCAAGGGAATCAATTTGTATTGTTAATAGATGGGAATGTCTGATTCAAAACACAAACAGATCACCTACAGTCTTATTAAGGGGTGGAGAGGACTCAAGGGGCAGAATGGTCTACCTTGATTCCTCTTTCCAATGTTTACAATGCATACTTTCCAGAATATGATGGAGAAAGGGTCATTTTAAGGAGAGGCAGCCTGACTCCTTTGTTAGTCAAACATGAAAGGCTATTAGCAGTAGGCAAAAAAGTGAGGTTCAGGCCACCATCAAATCAGCCAGAACCTTATTGATGGTGGAGTAGGTTCGAGGGATTGAATGTCCTACTCCTGTTACTACTTCCTATGATCCTATGATTGCCAAACATCTGGTACATCGCAAAGCAGGGAAAAGACCATGAATTAACTCTCATTCGGGCTCAGTCTGCCAATATTTTTCTACCTCCCTAATCAATCTATCATAACTGTTGACCACCTTGGTTTTCAAGCTGCCACTAAATAAAGACAGACTTGTAGTTATTGAGAGCCTTTGATCACCTTAGGATTTCCCCAAGCACTTTGTACCCAATGTGGTATGTACTTCTGAAACCTCGTCACTGTGACCACACAAGAAATGTTGCAATCAGTTTCCTCAGAGAAGGGTCCTGTTTGCAGCAGCAATATGATAAGCACTGAATAATAATTTTTTGGTGATGTTCATTAAGATGTAAGTAGTAGCCAGAACATCAGGGAGAATTTCCCTGCTCTTCTTAAAAATATGACTATAGGATCTTTTAAGGCCATCTGAAAGGAAAGACAGGGCATTGGATTAAAATTTCTTCTGCAACTGACAGTGCACCATTCCCTTGGTAGAAGATTAATTAAATGTAAACCATATATGTCCCTTCCCACATCTGAGCTCAAGTCTATGCATCTTTGTCAGACTTCAATTTTGTATCAAAATCAAGGTTTAATTTATGTACACCCCTAAGAATCATGAACATTTTCAAGAAGATATCTTCTTTAAAAGTTTCCATTGTTCTTCACAGACAAAATATCTAGATCAAGGCATCAATTCATTTGCTGTAACTGCTGATGTTAAATGCTCCCACCATTGAATGCTGTATCCAGCACTCCAAGCAGGACCACATCAGAATGCATTCATTATCATGTTGCCAATCTGCAGATGAATAGTCGAATACATTTTATCTCACACGCCATGCTTTCCCTCATCTTTTTTAAGTAAATGACCATAACATTTCATATTTCAAAAATGAATTGGACAGCACCTCAGATAATCCAGCAAGTTTCATCAAGAAAGATGCAAAAATTTATTCTTGGCAGTAGTAAATTAGCTGTTCTCAGATAACATGCTCGTGAGGATGTTAAAATTAACCACAAATCAGCTTGATTAAAGGTAACTGTTGACCACTTCACAACTCATCCTCACATATTAGAGTGTCAAAATCATCAGGTATTCTTCAACTCTTACATTTAAATGCATTCTTCAACAAAATCTAAAGCATGCAAATTTTGAAAGCAAATGTTTCCAATTCAATTTTGAAAGTTAGTATTGTATTTGCTTCCACCTCCATTGAGACACAGTTTGCTGTGTTAGGAACAAAAACCTCCACTAGCATTTTACTCAATTATCTTAAATCTGTGATCTCCGGTACTGAACCTGGAGGAAGTGGAAATATTTTCTCCCTATTACTCCCTTAAAATTCCACAATTTTAAAACTTATGGAACTAGTTGGATGTGCATTCTTCATCATTCTATTTAGGAATTTAACATCAACTTCCACTTGTATAGCAAATTCAAAGTTATAAAAGTCAAAAAGCACTTTCATTAAGCAAACTTTAGCATCAACTCACAAAGGAGCTGAGAAAAAATGGCCAAAACCCTACGCAAAGATATATGTTTTAAGGGGTAGCTTCAAAGAGAATGAGACAAAAGAGATTTTAGTCAGGGAACCCAGCAGCTTAGGGCAAAGGCGACAAAAATGTTAGCGCCTAACAAAGGAGTGATAAAATATCGGATGTCTGAATGGATAAAAGTGAAAGGTCACAGAGGTCTTTTGAAGGAGTTTCCTGTAGGACTGGATGTTTACAGAGATAAGAATGAGTAAAGCTATACACGGAGTTGAATACCAGTATGAGATTTTTTCTAAATCAAGGAGTTACTTAAGTAGCAGCCAACCTAAGTCACAAACAGAGTGAAGGGTAAACTGGAGTTGGCATGAATTAGAATCCGAGTGGCAGAGCTTCAGATGTGCTCTGGTGTGTAAAGGATGAAATATGGGAGGGTATAAGAGTATTAGAATAACCAAGTCTATAAGCAGTAAAAGCATGGATGAAGCTGTTAGCAAATAAACCTAAACAGGTGAAGAATTGAGGACTTAAGCAGGTAGCTGGTGGTGGTCTCAGTGATGTTATGAATGGGATCAGTGACTAGAAAATTGATATTATCGTAACAATGGCTTCAGTCTGCTTGCAGCTACATTCTAACATGAAGAAAACGGGTTTTAGAAATATAGATATATGTTATATAACAAAGGGAGCATACTTCCTGAATGGTCAAAAGTGACCAGTTTTCAAAAAACCTCAAACTATTTGGAGGAGAAAACATTACAATACAAGTCAAACTTCAGACTGATCTTTTCTAAAGGCTTTATTAACAGAAAATAAAACCGGAATTACGAACAAAAAAAGTTGTGGGAAAGCTAAGACTCATTACTTACTTCAAATATCATGCTGGCTTTTGTTTATTTTATTTAATTCAGCTTTCCATCAGTTGTGCAAAATTGTTTTACATAGATTAAAATACTTCCAAATTTAATGCTTTAATAGCGATGCCAGTATAAAGGACAGGACAAAACTAACCGTGATGACCTCCACAGTCCACTAGCCAGTCAGTATTCACATCTTAGTTTTGCATATGAAAGAAAGGTATGGGGTGGGCGGAATCTCAGAAAAGAAGAAGAAGCCATAACGTAAATGTACAACTGATTGATGTAAAAAAGTCATTGATAGCTGCAAGGTCTAATTAGCAAGGATGTAACTGACAAACCTGGAATGCAAAATGGCAAACCACAGCGCTGGACTGGAGAGAATTTAACAGCAAACACAGAAAAGTTCAGAAACCTAAACAGGTATTCTATCATTGATCACTTATGATTAAACAACAAATCTGAAGTAATAAATTACTAAATTTAATAAAAAAGGCCAAGAACAAATAAACAATCGTGAATTATTTAAAGCACAAATTTCCCTTCTAATATCTCACTAGGGCAGAGTTTTAAGTTCAAAAATTCTGGACACACAAAGCAATCACTAGAGCAGCTAAATCACAAACTCAGCAAAGCTGCAAAAACAAGCATGCACCCGATTATTGAGACAACAGCTTGCTGTCAAACCTGCTCAAGATTAATATTGAAAAGCGTCTGTGTTATTGCTGCCACTTCTACCAAGCTTACCTGTAGTCCTCGCCGCCTCAAAATACTTGAATCATCCATGATGTCCGTTTAAATTTTGCTGGATTATTCCAATTTACAGACTTGAGAACTGTCTGAAACTTAGCTTGTTGTCTCTCACATCAGTAAATATTCAGTGGGTGCACTGTCTGAGTTGTCATTTGTCAATGCAAAGTCAACGTGATTCATTTCTCATTTCCTAGAGACACCTTATTTTGGGGCTTATGCAACATGAATCTTTTTATCTTTCTGCTTGAAGACAGTCTCAGCTGACCATACGTTGTGTTTCTGTCGCCCATGCAGGGACTGTTTCTTTTTTGAGTAGCTGAGACACGTGTGTTCAAACGATGCAAGAATTCATTCATCTATTCACCTATTCATCACCAGTGTGGCTGCCGGGGCTATTTCAATTCTGCAGCTCCTCTGAACTGGTAGTTTTTATATGAATTGCAGACTCAACATATAGCCAACAGCTCTTCTTGTGTGAGAAGAGTTATGGCCACAATCAGAACCCACTTCAGAGTCACTTCAACATGAGGTCAAACATCTCTCCTTACATGCCAGCCTAATCTGCATTTTGAATTAACATCTTCCATCACCTCTTTAAAAAAAAAACACACTCCTCTCTTTCTACTCTCAAAGTCAAGCCATAAGGCGACTCTCCAAATGATATTATTAGGATATTTACGACGTAATCTTACGGAAGTCCCTGGAAAGCAGAACCGTGATTCATTGGAGCAAAATGCAGCACAAATCCAAAGTGAACAAAGTGTTCAATTCATAAATTTTGCTCCGTTACGGCAAGCATTTGTCCGTTTGTTATGTGGCAGATCCTGATCTCAGCAGCACTTCCTCTCCATCTGCTGTTGAAAGCAACTGAATGCAGGCAGCCAGGCAGCAACCAACCACAGACCCGGCACCGGAATATTTACATAAATTATACAGTTAGGCATCTCACGCTGCTGAGAAAACCTCCTTCTCCATTTGGTTCAAAATCACATCCATTCCATTCTTCTTTTGTCACAAGTGTAGTGTATTCTGCAGTCATAATAACAACTTGCTAAATATTTACCCAGAGCTATCATTTTAGCAGATTTAAGTGCACAATTTTGTATTGTAAATGGCAGCTATAAGAAACCCTTTCGAGAAAAAGCAGTTTGCTTTGACTTATGTGTAATTACTATTTCTGAAAAACATAGCAATACAGTGAAACCAACTCCACGTAATAGAGCACCTACTTGGTCAACACAAGTTTTCACTTCTACAGCCCATATTGTATTATAGCAAGATGTGTTATTTCAATTACTTAAATATTTGGGAAAGTCAATGTAGTATTTGTTTTGTTCAAATAACTTGCTCAATTTAAAAGAATAGAATAATTTATTTTGATATTTTGGTAACCCTGTGCAGTAATAAGCAGTATAATCCAGAGTAAACAGTAGAAACTCTTAACACCTAGACCACCTCCAGACTCAAGGAAACCATAACACAAACTTGACAAGCAGGCAAGATATCCAACAAGCTACCTTGTTGGCATTTGCAATCAACCATCCTTTACAGAATTTGCCTAACTTTAACTGTAAATGATTCTCAATGATAAACTGAGTGATTATTTCCATTGGCAATTTCTTGGAACAGAAACTAGTAGTTATGAAGTCAGAAGTGGAAGATCTACCCTGAGAATCCAAACCTTTCCAAACTAACATGCAACCATAGGGCTTCAGAGCTGTGTGCCAGACTAGTTTTAAGTTACCTTCCTATTTCTTGTTTTCTAAGGTGTACTTCAGAATGTACAAAGGCACACCCGACTGGCCAGTAACAGGATTGGAGAGACCAAGCCGTAAGGCAGAGGTGACCAAAGGATCTCTATTCCAAGAAAACAGTATGCAGTGAACTAACATACATTAGATAACATTACTATTTTATTTTCAAAAATTGAGAATTACCTTCAATAAAATATATTCAAACAACTTTCCTTGTTTCACAGTCTATGGATGTTTAGAATACAAAATAATCAATATTAAAGCAAGTGAACTTTGAAATGAATCCTGATCATAACAAAAAAGCATAATTAAAAAGCATATACAGCTTGACAGTTATAACAGCATGACATTACAGTAATATATTTTGTAACTAACTGGATAGTTACCGCTTTTGTGTTCATTCAAAGCCTATTCGCAGTAGTAGCAACCAAAAAAGTTATTGAAGCAAACCTACTTCGTGAGGGTTGGGCATGGGAGAAGGAAAACATGCGTGAATACCAGTTCTAAACAAAACGGCTTAGTAGATTGTAAACATATGCTGGATGTAGAAGTTGCGTTATCTCTAATATATAACTTGTCCCAGCATTTGATGTAATAGTTTCATTTGAAATTACCCAGCTAAACACACTGAACATCAAGGCAAGAAACCAAGCAGAAAAAGGCCTCTGGAAAGCTATATCCCATCCATTATAGGCAAGTACAATCTGACGTCATTGCTTGGAACATATCCAACACACACATCTGTTTCACCAATTCACAGTTCCATCATATGACTGTTAACCCTTTGGCAATCCTTGCCAGGAGGTTAGCCATTCATTGACTGTGCACTTAGAGGTTGTTTTACAAGTTTAGTTTGCCCTGCTCACTTCCTCAAAATCTGATAAAATTTTGCAAATTCTTTGAAATTTGACTCAAACTGCATGAATTAAATATTGAGGCATGTAATAATGATCTTATTCAATCGTAATAACTTACCAGCAAAGAAAACAGGCTCATACTGGAAGATTATTTCTCCAAATTGAACTTGCTAACATGACACATTCAAGGGTGAAAAACAGTCTTCCCCATTTTCTACCAATTGTGTTCTGTATTCAAGCCAATGGCATCTTAAAGTGAAACTTAGCATAACCTCTCCCCTTTTCACTAAAGAAATATTGAGCCTCTATTAGGTAACAATGATGTTCAGTGAAGTTAATTTCCAAACTTGCAGCTTAGTAAGCAACGGCCCATCATACAATTCCATTCAGTTACAGATAATTCCACATACAGTATACAAAAATAACAGAAGTTTAACAATTCATTGGTATGTTTTTTCAAAAGACTGGTTCAGATAACACTGAGAAAAATTAGAATTAAATGGGAAAGCAGCATGGTAGAAATCACCTTATTGAATGCTGAAACAGCAAAGTTGGCATGGACGATTTTTCATGTTTATACTTCTGTGCAACATTATCTACTAATGGTTGAGAACAAATTCAGTCACTTAACTGTTGTCATTTATATTTCTCTGAAACATTAGTCTACAAGAACCAACAGGGCTTCACACAGAGGAGGTCTGTTCAGTAAGAATACATTTTTGCAAGCAAAAAACTCCAGACAGCAGTAGTTCTATATGATCTCCCAGCTTTCTGCAATTTCAGAATTAAGATTAACACCAGACCTGCAAGTGCAGAACAGAGTTGCAAAGCCTTTAATTAAAACTGCTTCACATGAAGATAAAGTGGACATCAAAACTTTCAGCTGATTTTGGGTACATATTATGATTCTCAGAGTTCTAAAACAAGCATTATAATATTCTTGAGGATGGAGTCTTGTATGAAGAATTCATAGTATTGTGTGCAGTGTTCTCAGCAAAACAGTGATCCCAAAACTGAGGCAATCTGCTGCTACAACATTGCAGAGAAGGGCTTCCGCCCCAAATTTAGACTCTGTAACACACCTTCAGGATGAGTATCTCTAAGCTGGCTGGGTAAATGTATATAAAAAACACCCTGCAGCAACAGTGCTGTGAAGAGGATAACTTAAAGCACATGGATTTTGCATCCTGTCCCAATCATAAGATGAGGAGCAGAGAAACCAGAACAAATTACTGGATAATAAAATTACACAAGTGACTACAAAAATACAGATCAATGCACACACTTAAGATTCCACAGTAAGGTGAATAAACTAGTCATGGTTAAGTCAACTGAAGTCGAAGGGAAAGAAAAGTACAAAGGATTTGTTCTGAAATGTAGCTTCGAACGTATTGATCAGAAATTATCAAATGGCAGTCGGAGAGATCTGTGGGTTGCAACTGATAACAGCATGATGCAGTTATATGGGATGAAAGGAGGAAAATGCAAAAAAAAAGCATCAAAATTACTGAAGTCCAGGAAAAAATGAAACAGACTGATCTTCTAATTATTTCTGAGAGTGTAAAATCAACATGGCAAGTACAATTTATGGTTCTTATTTTGTCAATTACATGACAAGCTTTTACATGAACTTATGTGCATCTAAGTTTTGATGCACATATCCTCAAAGTAGATGTGATCCGCTCCTTAATACTGGAATACTGATCTAATTTTAATATAAACAGTAGTGTATGTACAGCAAAGTTATAGTAGTGATAAAGACTGTCCAATGTGCGTACTTAAAATTAAAATAGGAGTAATTGTATCAATGTTTCCTGTCACTTTCTTTTCTTCTATTTTTTCCCTTTGCTCATCACTCTCTAAAAATTACCCTCTGGAAATAATGATGGAATGTGAATGTACAATCAGCAAGGGCTCTCCAGTACTTTAACCAAATGATTACTACTTGAATATTAGCTTGCAGGGCAGCAGCAGTGTCCTCACCCTGAAATTTGTCCACACCTTGTAGCTACACATACTTTGAAAGCATGGCAGCCACTACAGGAAAAACCAGGCAATTTTGTTGTCTTTAATCCAGAGATGCTGAGACAAACGTTGCATCCTTATTTATGCAATGTTGAGCAATTTCAATATGATACTGATCATTCTTGTTCAGTGTAGCACTGAAATCGTGAAAACAAACTGATATCATATCAAAAATTTTACATTCAATCTTGAAGCCACAAATTAGGTCAATCCATTGAACTGAGTGTCTCATATCTTCAATGGACAATTAGCTAACCAGACATAAATCATTCTGCGAATTGGATTACAGGCAGTGGAAAGCAAGAATGTGAAATTTTTTTTATAAACTTTCACAAAATTTATTAAGAACAGTTTGGCTTCATGTAAGTGCATGTGGAATGGGGGAAGAGAAGGGGCCTGGGTGTGATGAATGATTTCAAAAGTACATCATTATAACAATTACATGCAAAGCAATTGTGAATTGACACTATCACTACAGGAAACAAATAAAGGGGACAGCACCAAGACAAACAAAATTACATAAACCGGTCATCTTTGCTTACAACAAAAAATAGCTTGAGGTTACATTGCAGATATGCCACTAAACTTGCCCACGCATGGAGGAGGAAGGAAAGACTTTTGGTCCAGAAACCATAACGACTGACGCTTCTGCCTCCTTTCCAAGAACTGGAGCAGTATTAAGTTACAAGAATAATTATAGCCAACTTGAAACTTTATTATCTCTCATTAAAATTCTTGGCTGTTGCTGTGGTTTCCGATTGTATTTAGATCACTCGACACATATTGGAATTGACATTTCTGCATAAAAGGCTTCCTTACAACACAGACATTTCTGGAATTAGTGACATTATACTGCACTGGAATGGTTGAATATTCGCAGGCTTGTTGAAAGATTTAGATCTTGGAGACTGGTCACCAGATGATCATCTATTTCACAATTCTGACACAATGTTTTATCTTCAATTTTTCTCCTAGGCAGATCATTACAGATTTCATTTTACTTGGTAACCAGGAATGTCTTTGTAAGCCCTGGAAAAATAGTGCCATCAGGTAATGTGCATATAAACCCTGACTAATAAAGAGTAAGAACTCGCCTACAGCAGTGGTGCTTCTAGAGCACAAAAGAAATATCTAAAAGGCTATAGAATCTCATATGGCAAGATACCA